GGCACGCCACGTGACCCCGCCTCAGCCCCTCCGCGCAGCCCGGTCGCTGTCCCGGGAATCAGCAGACGGGACGCACGGTGGCACCGCACAACCTTTACTCGCCCCCCAGACGAGGCACGGCCTTCGCCCGGCTCAGGAGCGACACGCAGGCGTTGAAAGGCTTCCCGCGGCATTCCCGGCACTACCCAGCACCACGCAGCGAAGCTGGGTCCCGCTTCTCGCTACACGTGCCATGAGACTGCTACAGCAGGTTATTTTACCTGAACTATTAAAAAGGCATGTTATTAATTATAAATATAAAAAGCAGTTACAGGGAGATTGCTTAGAATGATTTATAACCCAACACCTGAAGCTAAGATCAAAGATTCCCTGCACAAAAGTTCTAAACACCAAAGTGTCAGCTTTGGTTTACACTACACCAAAAAGCTTACCCCAAATTGTGGCAAAATACATAGAGAGGGAGGAAAATACCAAGCACAGAGCGATGTGAGACCATCACTGCTTGGGATGTAAGAGGGGAGGATGCAGTCTAAGAGCAAGCCTCCTAGTAAGGTAGAACTTGGGTTTATCTCTCAGGTTTATCCGAGGTCAACTTCTCCCTCTTTACAACATGTACAAAACATTCCTTCAGAATTCCTAGAACTTACTTCCAACTTAATTTCCAACTGAAAAATCGAGACAGCCCAACAACTCCAGTTTTAAACATGAAACCAAACCAGTAAAAGTGTTCCTGTGTGCAAAATGACCTCTCCTCTCAACTGCAGTAACTAAGATCCAATATGCTGCAATTGTTGTTTTATTTTCCACCTAACTGACTAAAGGTACCACAACTTAGGGTTTTCTTCCCTTTTTGCGCAGGGATTGGCCTTCTCCTGAAAAGGCAATAAACCGGCTTCCAGATTCATCCTGAAAAAAGGAAAAGAGGGAAAAAGGTTGTTACCTCTTTGCTCACTGCTTGTGCATGATATACTCTGAACAACTGTTAAAAAGAACATTCCCTCCGAGCAGCAACTGACTGTGGACATTTCACATCCTTAATCTACCTAATAACCACTTTCTTCCTGAAAATAGAAGCATTCCATGGACCTTTCAGCCAACTGAAACAAGCACGGCCTGGCTTATTAAACTTGTATCAGGCCAATCTTTTTAGTAAGTAAAGATACGGGAGGTTGCTTTCACCTAATTCAAACCACCTTTTAACAGGAGTGTGCTGTGAAAATTCATGTATGGAGAGAGGAACCACACACTTGGGCAGCAGTTCTGGTGTTCTAGTTCTGTGCAAACTGGGAAAGGTACAACTTCATTTACCTCTTCGACTTTCTTAACTAGCGGACGTGAGTTTCTGATGAATGTGATTCTACCAATCTTGAAGTCATAGTTGGGAATTCCTCTGGAAAAGAAGAATAAAAATGTTATGGAAGAAGTTTTTTACCTCACATCCAATTGAACACAGTGAGGCCTATTCTGTCAGTATTGTACCAGCACTGCTGCAAATTTTCATTAGCAAATAATTCTAGAGTTAAACCCCTGTATTACTTTCTGAAGGCAGGCACATGTTGCATGAAGTAAATGATCAGGCACTGGAGCTGCTGCAGCAGCTTGGCTGTGGGCACATTTCCATGTGGCCTGTGGTTTCCATGGGGCCATGGACATGTTTTCCACAAGGGTTCAAGTTTCACTGTGACAAGTGTAAGTGACAGAACACCACAGAAACCACGTACCTGCACACTTCCAGCAGTTCTGAATTTCTAAATTTCCTTGCAGGAAATAGACACACACAAACAAAACCCCAGCCAACTCAAAGAAGGTTCCACTCTATGCCACATTTCACTTGAGCGCATCAGCAGGGTTCTGTGCATTACTCGATCCAGCCCAGTCCAGACCTGCTGCCTCTCCCTATCTGTCTTCTATATAACTTGAGTTTTAGCAACATTAATTTAGGATCTGCATCTTAAGTAGTCAGGGACCTTACAGTCAGTCTGAAAGATTAGACTAATTTTCTAAATGCAAACTTAGGATGAAAGTAGCTTGTTTGTATTGCAGGAGCAGGAAAAACAATAAAATAAACTCAAAGGATCACTCAAACTCTTTGACATACCTTCGAATGTCCCCTGGTTTAATGGGTGATGGACTGGGCTCAACTCCTTTCTTCTTGCCATCCAGTCTGTTCCCAGAACCAGAGAATGCCTGTGTATACAGAACGAGTTTTAATTTAACTGTATCTTGTATTTGAACACTGCACAGGGATACTGTGTTCTGCAAAAATCTTACTGTAACTTTTATTGATTACTTGATTCAGCATGTTTCTTCTTGGTACATAAAAGCTGATGCACTGTGAGTGGAGGAGTACGTTTCAGTCTCCCATTCAAAACTGCCCGTTTAAGGACAGGAAGTCATATTGTTACTGGCTGTTACACCCGCAGACAGTTGCCCATTAAATGATGAGCACCTCTAAGAACACACACTAGTGTCTGCAGTTGGTTGGAACAACTTTCACCAATCTACAACATTCAGAAACCAGCAGAAATAGGGGACTTACACGAAATCCTACGTCACTCACATATCCACTGTGGTCTGCTTCAACATCCTGCGAGGGAAAAGCAAGTTAGTTCATTGTATTCATGTTATGATATGCAGAACACAAACTTCAGAACAATCCCCTTCCAAAACAACACTTAGTAGACAACCATTTCCTAAGTAACACAAACAAAAACATCTGGTAAGTATACTTAATTTTTTCAGGAAAAAATATGTTGTTGCTCACTGCCCCATCACAAGCAGGGCTGACTTCCAGGGAATACATTTTTGAAGAACAGAAGCTTAACCTACTGTGGTCTCTTCATGCTGTGCAGTTCTTTCTGGTTCTTTGTACCCCAAAGGAGCATCAAAATCCACCTATTTACACAAGAAACATGTAAATAAGCATGATAGGTATTTTTCTTTTAATCATATGCTTTATACTACTGTTCTTCAAAACCCCACAAACTATCACTCCCCGTTTGATCTAGAAAGAACTGAGGTTTGTTTGCCAAACTCAGAACTAAAAAGACTAAGCCTCTAAGGAATGGGTCTTAGCATGTAATTGAGATAGTGCATTAACACAGCACCACATAACATCATTGGAGTTTGAATCAAGACAAGGCTATTAAATAAAACTCAGATTATAAAACATGTTGAAGCTAAACATTAAATTCTAGGCAGTACAGTCATCTGATGGCACACAAAGTGCAGCTCCAGACCACAGCTGTGGTTACAAAGGCATATGGGGTACTTTCAAATGTCATCTTTCCTGTTCCATCTGATTTTACCTTTCCTGCAGCATCAGAAGTGCTCAGTGTACAGCACTGTCACTTAACAAAATGTCCTCTCCTTTTGTAAGGACACAGTAAAGCAGACTTTCCACATCAGCTTTAACTTACATTCATATCACATTCTATGATGGACACAGCTTTATCTGGTTTGGTCTCCATCACCCGAAGCTCATAGATCTGAAACAGTAATAAGCATTTTAATATCGCACATGGAACAGCTCAACTTATACACAAGAAAACCCTATCTAACCCTTTCCCTTCAGATAGCTGCCAGAAAATGGAAGCAAGTGCTCTTCAGGTTGAAGACTGAATGATGCAGGGTCTCTACAAAATTTGAGAGCAAGGATTTTTAGCTTAGAAGACTGCTGTATGCTGGAGCTAAAGAAACTATGTTTTATTGTACCTTGATATACTCTTACTGTACCTTAATCTGCATTCTTAGAAGAAAATTATGAATTTACAAGTGAGGAACAGACTTTAAAACTGTCAACAGCACAAAAATTTATTTTCTTGGGAATCAAAAACCAGTTTAAAGAGCAACTCAGGAGAAGACTTAACTGACCCCTTTTCTCCTCCAACAGAAAACCAATTGCAAAATCTACCATCTGGGATTCCTTGTGAACAACACTGCACAGCTCTGTGTTGCTTGTTTTAGCACCACCATCCAAGAACAGAGCTTAGACTACAATCCCAAGTGATCACATGTGCTGCCAGAAATACTCATCTATAAAATCTATTCATAAGATGTACCCATGTGGTCAGTCTACTGAAATACAGCGTGCCTTTTTACGTGGAGCAGAACTTATTTCCTCAAATTGATGCACCCAAACAGAACCTGCATGGACTGGTGCTGTATACTGTACCTTTTCATTGTAGTTGATGGCAATAACATCTCCAGTAGTTAGACAAGCGAAGTTCCTCAATGCATTTTCTAATCTTTGAAGTATATTAAGATGAAACATCTGTTTTCAATGCAACATCAAAGCCTCAAAGTTACTATAAAACTCTGATCCTTGGTCTCTCAAATATTGTTTAAAAGTACTGTATATAGCCTTTTAGTAAACATTAGGGTGTATGAGTTCTTCTAAAGGGACTCTCAAACTCACTGAACTTCAGGCCAAGACTCACACTTCTTCATACCAGGGTACACTTTGTGCCAGCAGCTGGCAACATCTCTGTATATAAGCTTTCTATTCTTTTTTGTTTTCAAAGAAGCTGTAGTAGTTACCTACTCCTAGAAGAGTATGAGCAACACCTGAAAAGCTAGCTCTGCTTCATCATTCCGATTTAGGAAAAAACTTTTGTCCCTTGCTCCATAACTGAATAGGAAGGATACACAGCTTTGGGATTGGTGATGTCAAGAAAATCTGGACTCTGTGGCTGAAATTTTGAGTAAGTAGCAACTTGAAGATTAACACTCTCCACTTGCACCAGGCCTCCCTCTTCCAGAAGCAAGTTTTGCATCATCTGCAAGAATGAAAACAAAGACACAAGCCACTATTAACATGACTGATCTTGTTAATTCTCTTTCCTTGCATATACCAATTTTTGCTGGGGCTACCATCTTCCTGGAAATGCACCAATTTACCACAGTTTAATTTCAGGAAGAACAATCAGATGCATCTTAAAAAGCAGTCTGCTTTGCTTGCTTAGTTAAACTCTTATGGAGGGAAACCTGAGCTGTGACTGAAAGCTGCTGAAGGAACATGACTGGCAAAGACACCTTCAGGAAACATTCTGCCTCTTTAATATTAAACTGGCAATTCACTCATCCTACTCTTCAGGTTTTGACAGTTCAGCCTGAGACAACTCACCCAATGTGGAAGGTAACATATGCCCTCATCAGCTACAAATTCAAGCACTCCACAGTGTGTCATTCGGTCTGAGTTTTTATTGGTCAGCTTGAACAGCATTGGGTAAGTGATATTAAGTCGGCCTGGTGAGAAAGGAAACAGAAACTTTGCTAAGAGCCACTGACATATTTCTGAAGCTTTCAGAGACTGAACATTAGCAAGAGATGGGCCAGACTACAGGAGAGGATTCCCCTCATGCCGTTATTCCAGTTGCTCACTACAAATCCAGAAGAGCATGCAAATACACAAATAATCTACTGCCATCACGCTCAGAGCTTTAAATGCCTCTCCACATCTCCCCAAGCTCAGAGATGAGCAGGCAGCAGGTATTAGTAGAGGAATCTATTACTATTATGTCTTTGTGCTATTTTCAGTTAGCTCCTACCTAACGAATTTTAAGAGGCCCTCCTATTTTAAAATTAAACCCTCAGTAAACTAATTTCTCAAAGAACCGTAGTTAAAAGGGCAAATAAAGACCATTTATACTGTTGATTCAGTTGTCTTTTTTTCTTCATTTCAAAGTTAATTATAAATTATTTTGTCTTTAATTCTGTTCACTCAAGACAAGAACATTCAGAACAAGCAGGTTGAGATTAAGAATTTAATGTATTAACTGTAACCATTATACTAAGTATGCTACTATTTAATATTGATTCATGTCTCAAGTAGTCCAATACTTGTAATGTCTGTACTTGAAGACAGACAAGTCCCATTAATTCTGACACACAAAATACTTCCAAAATACCTATTGTGAACTAATTATTCTCGTATTCTCTACCTAAGTCAGACTTAATTAAAATACTGGTATTTTCTTGCTCATTTGGTCATATTTCTAATGGTGTTAGACCAGAATAAAATATTCACTTACTGAGTTGATCCAAAGCTGATGGTGGCATAATTACTGCAAAAATGAATAAGAATGTAAGATTAGGAATAGTATGTCTGTACAAAGAGTATGTAATATGCAATTTTATCATTCCTTTATCTAAAATATTCTCTAAAAAAAGGAGATTCAAAAATCTCCAGCAAATTAATTTTTGAGCCAGAGATTTCAGTAGAATCAGTCATGACAAATACATCTTCTAGCACAGAGAGTTCAGAATTTAATTAAAAGAGAAGACAAGTTTTTACAATACCCAGTACAAAAGAAAATGTTTCCTAAATGTAATTTTATTTACTTGGACTTACAGGTTCTCTTAAATCGATGTCAAGTCAAAACAACACAGGTTTAGCCTGACACCTTGAAAATTAAGTTGGCCAGCCTATTACTTTTGTTCAAGCTAAGTACGAGGGCAGACAGTGTGTAAGAAGTCGTTGATAAGAAATTTCCATGGCTTATAATGAATCTAAGATGTTAACGAGAGGCTTTAAAATAGAAGAATGTCTTGTTCTAATGCTCATAAACCCATACTCCCTTGGTGTTGTTTATTAGAGAGTCATGCGATAAAAGATGGACCCGCCTCCTTAAAACCCCACCCAGGGCGCTCTCCTAGCTCCAGCCACAATGCCAACAGAATGTCTCCATGCCGTTCAACAATGTTTCTGGAGCTTTGGCCAAAAGCTGTATTACTTGACATTATTCACAAACACTCTTCCAAGAGGTTATTAGTCAAAATAAAACAGGCACATACTCTTCCCGCCTTTCTCCACATCTGACCTGTCATTAGGTCCAGCAAGCATGGATACTGAGAAGCAGCGGTATTGGGTTGAGAAGCGGTTCTGGAAAACCCGAGGGATGGGGTGATCGAACATATTAAAGGAGAACTGGAGAAAAAAGAACACAAACAGAAGGCGGCGTTAAAAGCTATCAACAGCGTCCTGAAGTTTAGCTACAACTACGTTTAAGAGCCGTGCGGCTGTTCTCCCGTCACGGCGGAGGCTCTCCCCTCCGAGCTCGGGGAAGGGATGTACGCCCTGCGCCGCGCGGGGACACAAAATGGACGCAACGCACTGGGCCGGGCCGGGCC